GGGAAGCCGGGGCCAAGGTGAAAATACTTAGGTCCGATCGGGGTGGGGAGTACATGGGGAAGGATCTAGAGTCTTTCCTTGAAGACAAGGGCATCACCCACCAGCTTTCAGTCGCCTACACGCCGCAGCAAAATGGGGCAGCGGAGCGGCTAAACCGGACCCTCATTGACCTTGCCCGAGCCATGCTTGCTCATGCGCAGCTGGACCATACTTGGTGGGGGGCAGCAGTGCAATATGCCAACTGGGTTAAGAACAGAATGGGCAGCAAGGGGCTAGGGGGCAAGAGCCCTTACTTCATGTGGACCAGGAAGGTGCCTAGTGTGTCCATGGCACGAGTGTGGGGGTGCATGGCGCAGTACAAAGTGCCCGACCAGCAACTGAGGAAGCTGGATCCTAAGGCACAATGGGGCATTTTTCTTGGGGTGTCGGAGAGGAGCAAAGCTTGGATGTTGTGGAGTGTGGCAGATCAGCGGGTGGTGGAAATCAGGGATGTGGTTTTCCACGAGGGGCTGAGCTATAAGGGGTGGAAAGAGCATGGTGCTAGTACAGTTGGGAACTCCCTTCAGGATCCCTACACCTCTTCCATCTTTGAGGGGGCACGGGAGGACCCTGGAGAGGAGGTAGAGGAGCAGCAAGAGGAACAAAAGGCAGCTGCACCTCACCATGAGGAGTCACCAACTGCTGGTTCTACCCCCGACCCTAACGCACCAGCCCATGACCCGGAGCAGCCACAGGGGCAGCAGCAGCAACAAGAGAAGCCGCATCAGCCACCACAGGAGCATACACCACCTGTTCATGTGGGTAGGTGGCAGCAAATACTGCAGCAGCAGCTGTCCAAGTCACCACGGTCCCCCATGAAGAGAGTGACTTGGAAGGAGAAGCTGCAAAGTTTGGAGCAGGGGGAGGCATCACCTCTGCGCCGCACCACACGCATCTCCTGGCCACCCGAAAGGTTCACACCAAGTGCACAGTATGCTTGCATGCATGATCATGAGGTGCAAGATATGAAGGAGTGCATGCTTGTGGATGCTGAGGGGGGTGAGCTTGGGCTTGATTTCTGTCTCATGGGTCAGGTGCATGAGCCTAAGTCGGTCAAGGAGGCCTTGTCTCGTCCTGAGTGGGTCGAGTCCATGCGTGAGGAGCTTGAGTCTCATAGGGTGAACGAGTCTTTTGAGCTGGTTGATCCAGCTTGTGTGCCACCTGGAATGGAGGTCTTGAGGTGTCAGTGGGTGTGGAAGTATAAGCACATGGCTGATGGGAGTATTGAGAGACCTAAGTCCAGGTTGGTGGCCATGAGGAACACTCAAACACGAGGCGTTCACTATGACCAGGTATATACCCCGGTGGGTAAACCTACCACCCTGAGAGGTTCCCTTGGGATGGCAGCATCCTCGGGGTCTCACATCCATCACATGGATGTGACCACCGCCTATCTTCATGGGGTCTTGAAGGAGGAGCTTTACATGAGGCAGCCACCTGGGTTTGATGATGGGTCCGGTAGAGTTTGCCGACTCAAGAACTCAATCTATGGGCTAAAGCAAGCTCCAAGGCAGTGGTACCTCAAGTTTGATGAGGCGCTAATGGATTTTGGGTTTGAGAGGTCGGAGTGTGACCCCGCCTTGTACCACTTGGTGAGGCGTGAGGGCAGGCTGTCCCTCTACCTCTATGTGGATGACATTCTGCTCATGTCCTCGAGCATGGTCTTGCTGGAAGAGGTGAAGGGTCTCTTGTCCTCTCGGTTCCGCATGAAGGACTTGGGGGAGGCCAAGTACTATTTGAGGGTGCAGATTGAGCGTGATGAGAGTGGCATTCTGATTCATCAAGAGAGGTATATTCTCAACATGCTTGAGCCCTTTGGCCTTTCTGAGGCTAACCCCGTGCGTACCCCTCTCCCTACAGGGTTCGACGTGCATGCACATGCTGAGGAGCCCTTGCTGCGAGATGAGCTGGTCAAGCTCTATCAAAGCATTGTGGGGTCTCTCATGTATGCCAGCATGACCACACAGCCCCAGATTGCTTATGCAGTGTCACAGCTGTCCAAGGTCGTGTCTTGTCCCAAGGCATTTCACTTGCAGGCTGCTAAGAGAGTGCTAAGGTACCTGAAAGGTTGTGTCAAGTTCGGTATCTTCTACCCCGCACACAACAAGCCTCAGGTTGAGTTGGTGGCCTTTAGTGATGCTGATTATGCTGGAGATTCAGCTGATCGCAAGAGTCAAACCGGCTATGTCTATTGCCTTAATGGTGCAGCCATCTCTTGGCAGAGCAAGAGGCAGCCAGTGGTTGCATTGTCTACCACTGAGAGTGAGTACATCAGTCTGTGTCAGTGCATTCAGGAGGGTGTGTGGCTGAAGCGGTTGTTTGGGGAGTTTGGGCATGAGTTTGCTGGTGGTGTGCCTGTGTTTGTGGACAACCAGTCTGCCATTGCCCTTGCACAGAATGCATGCTTGCATGGCCGCACCAAGCACATGCATGTTCGGTGGCATTTCATCAGGGAGATGGTGGCGTGCAGCGAGGTGATCCTCCGGTGGTGCCCCACCAACCGTTAAGCAGCAGATATACTCACCAAACCCCTCCCTTTTGAGCGGCATGGTGTGTGCATGTCCTTGATGGGGATGCAGCCCCATGTCAGCATGGTGCCTGAGTAGGATGTGGGAGGACTGATGCTTCTCTGCATTGACGACCTCATGCTGTGGATGGCGCCCTTCCCTGGGCAAGGGGGAGTGAAGTGAAGGATTTTGCCCAGTGGTGTTCAGCCACCTCCAGCACGAGCAAGGGGAAGTGTTGATTGTGTAGGTGGTTGTGGTATTTTGCTCTAGCTGGTTGTGGGCTAAGGGTTTGGGCAAAATGTGGTGGTTAGACTTGTTGCGGGTTGGTATTGATCTCGCACCCAACAAGCACCAACAAACCTTTGCTATTCACTACAACACCTTTGGTAATGCTAGTTTAGCACTTTGGGTTGTTGGGGATTGTTGTAGGGCGAGGGTTGGGTTGGTAGGGTTTGAACAACTCGTCACTTTTCAGATCTGAACTCTTACTAAAGCTAGTCTTTTGGTCTAATCCATGGCTGCCTACTAATTCCGCCAGAATACACCGTCGCACTTAAATCGCGATAGCGATCGGTCTAGATCTTGGTTGAAAACGTGCGTTACTATTCTGGAAAGTAGAGATTAAGACCTTTCCAACGCGTACCTACTCATAGTTTAAGGTTTCGTGAGCTGCACGCAGTGTTCCGTCGAAGTCGGCGGACTTAATCTCTTCTACGCTCTCCAGATTCACGCGCTTTCCATCAGACATCTGCCAGGATTGCGTAGAGGCACCGTGCTGGCGTTGCAGAAAGGTGACTTAACAATGGAGCGAATTGGTGGCTTGTTAGCGCTGCACCAAGGCAACTTGCCAACGCTGCAGCAGAGCAGTCTACCAGCGTTGCATCCGTAGGTGATAACAACGCAGGTGCTTACCTACTTCGTAGGTGTGCAGCGACGGTCGAGCACATTGTGCACCGTCGCGCAGGTGTGAAGTCGGTCACGTGGTGACGGTTGCACATGAAGAGCTACGTTGACCACGTCCTGACACGTCAGTCAACTTTGCCACAACAGCCTCGACGACGTTCGCACACCTCCGCAGAATCTAATCGAGCAGGTTACATGGTTGACAAGGAAACCGCCAAGTCGACGTCGACTTGCGCTGCCGGAACCCGCCAACTGATGTGCAGGCGCGTCGACCACACAGCTATCTCCGGTCGACTTTGCCAAGTCGACGCCTTAGCAGGTCGATAAACACCTTCGTCGACCACTCAGTAGAAGTCGGTGCCCACCCTGGTCGACAAAAGGGTCACCCAGCCTGGTCGGCTTATGCTGTCAAAATATCATCGTCGACGGCTTCACAATAGTTCCGCACAGGTCAACCAACTCCCATCGACGGCGGTGCCACAGCAGTCCCACGCAGGTCGACCAACTTCGTCGACCTGCACGTCCCGGCTGGCGTCGACCTCTGCGAATGGTCAGCTACACCTATCGCACACCCAACCTCAAAGTCGGCTTCACCCAAGCGAGGGCGGGGCCAGCACCCAATTCCCATTAAAGCATGCGTCTCATATTTCCGCCCTCCCAACCAAGTGTAATATGGTTAAAATCGGGTAACCAGTTTTAGTTCGCCAAACGACCACTGTTGGTGGGCACAGGGTTGGGGTCAGATTGGGAAACAGACTCGAGAGGAAAGGCTTGTCGTACGTGCCAACCAGCAATTGAACGTGCACCACCCCAAGGTGTGGAAATGTACCTGGCGACGCAAATTGCTAAGCGCATGATTCGATCGTGCGACTCAACCACCCTGTGCGATTTTCCACCACCAGGGGGAACAAACATATTCCACCAGCTCGAGGAAATTAGAGACGCAGTTACATACAGCAAACAAGCGGAGGCACTCACGCAGCCTAACAAGCATATTACGCTAGATATAGACAGCAGAAAACGGAACCAAGCGACCCTATAATATGGCGCAGCAATGCCGCCACCAACCGGACCGTCGTATCACCAACAGTTAGAGCGAGAACCAGCATTGAAGTTCATGCGCAGCTTGTGCAAACGGACCACATCCGTAACGTGCGGACCGACCACCATAAAGCTTTACAGCTAGGAACTCGACGAGGCGACACAAGGCATTTTCCTTCGACACCACCGACGAGTGTGTGCTACTCGTCAGAACGGTGAGCACGAGCTGCTAATTAGCTCTGCAAAAACGACCCTATCAACCGCGTGAGTCACATGCCACGGCATAATCAAGTTGCCTCGACCAGTTTAGGGAAGCTTCTGGTACACGGCAAATCACTGGACGTCTTGAGAAGAGCCGCCAAAGCACCAAGAGCCTCAATGCTGGTGCATGCGATTGTTTAGCACGCAGCCCTAATAAACGTCGTTCCGCAGCTCGCATTGATGGTGAGGCTGTAATCTTGCACCAATTAATTTCTCGCCCCGCCTCAAAGTGTGAAGTGTGCATCAGCTATGCCACCACTGACTGGGGCAAAGCAGGCGGGAGGCGCCCCTCTGCCTGACCGCCCCGCTACCCCCCTGCTCACCCTATCACGACGGCTCCTCTTCTCCTCCAGCACTTCCCCCGCATGCAACTCCCAGGGCAGATCTGGTGGTGCACTCAGCAGGCGGGAGGCGAGCCTTTGCCTTACTGCCGCGCTCCCCCCCTTCTCTTCCTATCACCCCAACCCCTCTTCCCCCCATATTCCCCCGCATGCGCCTCCCAGGGCAGGTCTGGTGGCGCACTCAGCAGGTGGGAGGTGCGCCTCTGCCTGACTGCCCCGCTAGATCCCCCTTCTCTTCCCATCACCCCAACCCCTCTCTCCCCACCTATCCCCCGCATGCGGCCCTCATTTGTGGTCTGGTGGAGCACTCAGCAGGGGAGAGGCGCGCCTCTACCTGACTGCCATGCTCCCCCCCTTCTCTTCCTATCACCCCAATCCCGCTTCCCCCCATCTTCCCCCGCATGCGCCTCCTAGGGCAGGTTTGGTGGCGCACTCAGCAGGTGGGAGGCGCGCCTCTGCCTGACTGCCGTGATCCCCCCCTTCTCTTCCTATCACCCCAACCCCGCTTCCCCCCATCTTCCCCCACATGCGCCTCCCAGGGCAGGTCTGGTGGCGCACTCAGCAGGAAGGAGGCGCGCCTCTGGCTGACTGCCGTGCTCCCCCCCTTCTATTCCTGTCACCCCAACCCCTCTCCCCCCGATTATCCCCCGCATGCGGCCCCCAGGTGTGGTCTGGTGGCGCACTCAGCTGGTGGGAGGCGCGCCTCTCCCTGACTGCCGTGCTCCCCCCCTTCTCTTCCTATCACCCCAACCCTGCTTCCCCCCATCTTCCCCCGCATGCGCCTCCCAGGGCAGGTCTGGTGGCGCACTCAGCTGGTGGGAGGCGCGCCTCTGCCTCATTGCCGTGCTCCCCCCCTTCTCTTCCTGTCACCCCAACCCCGCTTCCCCCCAACTTCCCTCGCATGCGCCTCCCAGGGCAGGTCTGGTGGAGCACTCAGCAGGGGAGAGGCGCGCCTCTGCCTGACTGCCGTGCTCCCCCCCTTCTCTTCCTGTCACCCCAACCCCGCTTCCCCTCATCTTCCCCCGCATCCGCCTCCCAGGGCAGGTCTGGTGGCGCACTCAGCACGTGGGAGGCGCGCCTCTGCCTGACTGCCGTGCTCCCCCCCTTCTCTTCCTATCACCCCAACCCCGCTTCCCCCCATCTTCCCCCGCATGCGCCTCCCAGGGCAGGTCTGGTGGCGCACTCAGCAGGTGGGAGGCGCGCCTCTGCCTGACTGCCCCGCTAGATCCCCCTTCTCTTCCTGTCACCCCAATCCCTCTCTCCCTGCCTATCCCCCGCATGCGGCCCCCAGGTGTGGTCTGGTGGCGCACTCAGCAGGGGAGAGGCGCGCCTCTGCCTGACTGCCATGCTCCCCCCCTTCTCTTCCTATCACCCCAACCCCGCTTCCCCCCATCTTCCCCCGCATGCGCCTCCTAGGGCAGGTTTGGTGGCGCACTCAGCAGGTGGGAGGCGCGCCTCTGCCTGACTGCCGTGCTCCCCCCCTTCTCTTCCTATCACCCCAACCCCGCTTCCCCCCATCTTCCCCTGCATGCGCCTCCCAGGGCAGGTCTGGTGGCGCACTCAGCAGGTCGGAGGCGCGCCTCTGGCTGACTGCCGTGCTCCCCCCCTTCTCTTCCTGTCACCCCAACCCCTCTCCCCCCGATTATCCACCGCATGCAGCCCCCAGGTGTGGTCTGGTGGCGCACTCAGCTGGTAGGAGGCGCGCCTCTGCCTGACTGCCGTGCTCCCCCCCTTCTCTTCCTTTCACCCCAACCCCGCTTCCCCCCATCTTCCCCCGCATGCGCCTCCCAGGGCAGGTCTGGTGGCGCACTCAGCAGGTGGGAGGCGCGCCTCTGCCTGACTGCCGTGCTCCCCCCCTTCTCTTCCTATCACCCCAACCCCGCTTCCCCCCATCTTCCCCTGCATGCGCCTCCCAGGGCAGGTCTGGTGGCGCACTCAGCAGGTGGGAGGCGCGCCTCTGCCTGACTGCCTTGCTCCCCCCCTTCTCTTCCTGTCACCCCAACCCCTCTCCCCCCGATTATCCACCGCATGCAGCCCCCAGGTGTGGTCTGGTGGCGCACTCAGCTGGTAGGAGGCGCGCCTCTGCCTGACTGCCGTGCTCCCCCCCTTCTCTTCCTTTCACCCCAACCCCGCTTCCCCCCATCTTCCCCCGCATGCGCCTCCCAGGGCAGGTCTGGTGGCGCACTCAGCTGGTGGGAGGCACGCCTCTGCCTGATTGCCGTGCTCCCCCCCTTCTCTTCCTGTCACCCCAACCCCGCTTCCCCCCATCTTCCCCCGCATCCGCCTCCCAGAGCAGGTCTGGTGGCGCACTCAGCAGGTGGGAGGCGCGCCTCTGCCTGACTGCCATGCTCCCCCCCTTCTCTTCCTATCACCCCAACCCCGCTTCCCCCCATCTTCCCCCGCATGCGCCTCCCAGGGCAGGTCTGGTGGCGCACTCAGCAGGTGGGAGGCGCGCCTCTGCCTGATTGCCATGCTCCCCCCCTTCTCTTCCTATCACCCCAACCCCTCTCCCCCCGCCTATCCCCCGCATGCGGCCCCCAGGTGTGGTCCTGTGCCGCACTCAGCAGGTGGGAGGCGCGCCTCTGCCTGTCTGCCGTGCTCCCCCCCTTCTATTCCTATCACCCCAACCCCTCCCCCCCCACACTTCCCCCGCAGCCACCGGTAGTGTCCTCGTGGCCTCTCTTCTGTAGCTGCTTCTCTATTTGATGCACATCTCGTTTGCTCCTCCACTCCTTTTCACCTGACCTCCAATCACTCCACAGCACCAGAAGCAGCACAGCGCAGGGAGGGGGGAGCGAGCGGGGTCCCACCTGCCAAGTCCGTAACTCTGCAGCCCCCAGCGACGTGGCAGCTGCCCTTTTCATGAAAAGGGATTGGAGGTGGTAGGAGCGCGGATAGGTGGTCTCCTCTGCTCCCCTGCTGCTGCGCGCAACATTCCGCTCCTCCCCTCATTCTGCTGCCCCCTTCACTCTGCAGCACTCAGTGAGGGAGCAGCTGCCGTTTCCAAGACCGAGAAAGCATCACTTCGTCCGTACCTCCCTCGTACGTCACTTCCCTCTGCTTCATCTCCTCTGCTGCTTCGTCTCCTCTGCTGCTCCTGCTCCACTACTTCTCTGCCTCATAGCACCGTCTGTGATGCAAGGGGCCTGGAGCAAGGCCGTTGAGAGCATGGTACTGATTGCCGCTAATGCATGAATAACTCAAACAAACAAAACGGTGGTAGAGCGAAAGGGGATCACCTCCTCATCTGGGCCGTCACGCGCTCCACTACTTCACTCATCGTGTCACCCATCGTCCACCCTCGTAGAAGCGCCTAGCTCCCACCATCCACTCCTCTATGCCACCCCTTCCCATCCCCCCCGCTCACCCCATCACAGCTCAAATCCCACGTGTGGCGCAACGTACCCAATCACCCGCTACCCCCATGCTCTCCCAATCACCCCACCCCCTCTCCCCCTCATGCACTGCCTCTACCCCTTTAACCACGTGTCGCTGGTGGCGCACTTTGCAGTCCAATAAAGGGCATGCCTCTTCCATCCTAAGAGCCTGCCGCAGGTCCCCCTCCCCGTGCACCCTCCCCCCTCTCTCCCCAGCGCACCCTCCCTTGCCAGGTGACTCCTATATGACGCTCGTGGCACACTCTGCAGGCGGGTACCTGGATTGCCTCTTCTAGACTAATTACCCGCCGCTACTCCCCCTCCCCGTGCCCCAAACCCTCAAACTGCCTTCTGACTCCCCATCTGCAGCATCACATACCATCGAGTGCCCTCCCAGGAGCTTGGTTGCACAACCTCAAGCATGGCTAGCAGCAGCAACAATGCGAGCGACGATTTGAAGAAACACTTGAAGAACATTATGGATAAGGATCCACAAAAGATGTTGCCAGTCAACAAACACATGACCTTGCTTGTTGCCATCATGCGGTGCGGTCTAACCGCGCTGTTGGGGAGAGATGCGTCGTTCAATGATCTTATGTACGTACTAGTAACTTCATCACCCGACGTCGTCAACAAACTCTTCGATGCAGCAACGAATTCATGTGAGTTTCTGCCCACGGTACCATCCATAACATCCCCACCCTTTCGTGGTCAGTGAACCCCAGCCCAACCCATGGTCTCCCCCTACACTATTTCCTCTTCTCCCCCCACTCTCCCCCCCCCTCCCCAACCCCCGTTTGCCCAAATGTCTAACACAAGGCAACCTCTTAGCCTCTAATTGAGCTGTGGCACATCATGCAACACACGCTACCGGCATCCACTCCCCCCTCGGTCTCAAAAAAGGTTGTGCTCGCTTCTCCCAAGATCCCGTACTCATTCCTGCATGCGATATTGGTTTTGTATGGCAGGTAAGAATGAAACGACGGTGAAGGACCAGATCAAATTGCACATGGATGCTCAACGGACAGGTTTTCTGTTGAGCCAAGAGGGGAGGATGGCATCGGTGGAGCACTTGCTCGAACGGGTGCCTATCTCTTCAAACGGCTACGAGTACGAGTTCGCCCGCTGGAAGCGCAATGCAGATGGGATTGTGGTGCCGGAGAACGGGCATGGCAATGGAGGAGATCGCCTTGGGCCCGCATTTCGAGCAACCTAGAGTGGTACGTGGGCACGATAGAGCGGTGGGTGGGCAAGCTAGAGCGGTGAGTGGGCACGCTAGAGCGGTGAGTGTTCAAGCTAGAGTCGTGCGTGGGCACGATAGAGCGGTGGGTGGGCACGCTAGAGCGGTGATTGGGCAAACTAGAGCGGTGAGTGTGCAAGCTAGAGGGGTCAGTGGGCACGCTAGAGCGGTGAGTGTTCAAGCTAGTGCGCTGAGTGTGCACGCTAGAGCGGTGAGTGGGCCATCCCGTTCTCGTCATTGTTCCCCCTGCGCCCTGCAGTTCCCCCCCTGCTCCCTTCAGTTACCCCCCTCCACTTTTCATTTTCCCCCATGCTCTCTTCCGTGCACCTCGTGCTCCCTTTATTTACCCCTCTGCTCCCTGCAGTTTCCCCCTTGCACCCTCCCCCCCTACACACCGCAGTTCCCCCCCGCCCACCCTATTGTTTCCCACTTGGGAAACGAACATTCCCCCCTGCACCCTGCAGTTTCCCCCCTGTACCTTGCAGTCTCCCCACGTCTCCCCTCTTTCTTTCTATTCTGTCATCTCCCGTTGCTGCTTCCTCCCATTCCGTCATCAACCTTTTGTTGTTACACCTCAAGCGTATTTCACATTCTCCCTCTTTCTCTGACTGTTTCCGGCACAGGTGGATGCGGAGTTTATATGCTTCCACTCCCTCTCATTCCATCTGGGCCTGACTGAGGAAACTAGAACGAGAAATGAATGACTAAGTGAAAGTTGGGTACAAATATGAACCCCTAGAAAGTTGTACCCCATATGTGCTACCCCACTATAGCCTACAGTAGCTATGTCATATAAATCTGACACACCCCCAAACGAAAAGTGGGGGAGAACAAGGGGTCACAAGACCACTCAATCAAAGCAAAGCTCAGGGTGGATCACAACGTCACCACACATTCTGAGCACAAGTTCAAGGCCACAAGACCAGTTCACATGCAGGAGTACACATATATATATATATAAGGCTAGACAAGGAAGAGCAGGCGTATATACATATGTAACAGTACAAGCAAGGTCAAGAGGTGAGCAAGTGAGGCAAGGCAGGCACAAGACCCAGCTGAGTACAGAAGCGCTGATGCTCACAAGGCGCAAGTGCCTTGGTGAAGATATCAGCAGTGTTGGCCTCAGAGGCCACGTACGCAAGACGCAGCTGACCACGCTGCTGTAGCTCACGAGCAAGGAAGTAGCGAAAAGCAATGTGCTCCAGTCTCTGCTCTCGACACAAGGCCAGCATGGCCTTGTTGTCTACGTACAACACTGGAGGAGAACGAGGCGGCTCTCCGAGGTCAGTCAGCAGGTAGGTGAGCCAGCGAAGCTCCTATGCAGCCATGGCCCCGGCGTAGATCTCAGCCTTACAACTGGAGCCAAGAACAAAAGACGAGCGGGTAGCCCGCCACGAAACAGAGCCGGAACCAAGGCTGAAGGTGTAACCCTGTGACGACCGGTGCGTAGCCTAGTCGTCAGCCCAAGAAGCGTCTGCGTGCCCAGTGAGGACCACTGGACTCTGACCTCCAAGCACTAGCCCCATGCCGGACGTACTGCACAAGTAGCGCAACACCCTCTTCGCTGCAGCCATGTGCTCTGGTCAATGTCTCCCAGAAGCAACATAGCGTGCAAGAATGCTAAGAGGGTATGCAAGGTCAGGTCGTGTGCAGGTCATCAGGTACATGAGGCAGCCAACAAGCTCTGGCTACGGGCCACTCGACTCTACGGACTCATCCGAAGGCAGAGCAGAGAGTGAGTGGCGTGTAGGCAGAGGAGTGGCCTGGGGCGAGGAGTACCTGAAGCCGAAGCGCTGAAGGACCTGCTGCACCATGTGTGACCGAGTCAAGATAATGGTGCGGCGTGCTCTGTCCCGAGTGATCTGCAAGCCAAGGTAGCTGCGCAGTTCACCCAGGTCTGTGCACGTGTGACTCTTCTGCAGCTCGGACTTCACGTGGGCGAGTCCAGCAGTGTCAGCTGTGGCAAAGACCAAGTCGTCGACGTACACGAGGATGTAGAACAGCGGCAAAGAAGTGTCGGTGCGCAGAAACAGAGACGGGTCGGCAGTAGAGGGAGCAAACCCAAGAGCCGCAAGCGTAGTCCTTAGTGTGTTGTGCCACTCACGTGGTGCCTGGCGGAGACCGTAGACTGGCCGCCGGAGGCTCCACTGGGTGCCTGGAGGAAAAGTCCCAGTGAAGCCACGTGGGCGGCGCAGCCAGATCTCCTCATGCAGGCTACCCTGCAAGAAAGCAGTGCTGAAGTCGAGAGAGTGCAGCTCGTAGTCGCGGTGAGCAGCAACGTGCTGCAGTACCCGAAGAGTGGTCATCGTCGGGGTGGGGGAGAAGGTCTGAAAGTAGTCAACTCCCTGCCGCTGACTGAAGCCACGAGCCACGTAACGCGCCTTGAAGACAGGCGGAGAACCCGGCGGCTGCTTCACCCTGAAGATCCACATGCTCTGACGATGTTCGCCCCAGGAGGGGGAACCGCGTCAACGTAGGTGCCTGTGGACTTGCAGGAAGCCATCTCTGCGTCCATAGCTGCCTGCCACTGAGAGGAGTAGGGACCCTCTATCGCCTCCGTGTAAGAACGCGGAGTCGGGATGTCAAGTGCATCTGGGTCTCCCTCAGGGGTAAGCAGTACGGACACGAGATGAGGTGAAGCAGCAGCCAGACACTGGAATTCCTCCTGCCTGTCCTCAAGGACGTCCGTGCCAAGGGCACACTCACCCCCGAAGGACGGAGGACAGACCGACGCAAACTCAGCAACAAGAATAGCAGCGTAGTCTAGACGACAGCGAGTAGCAAAGTCCACGAGCTCAGCAACTAGGGCAGACGCAGAAGTGGACTCAAAGGAGGGGTCAGTGACGATAGTAGCAAGGAGACACGTGACACTAGGACTGGCAGCACGAAGAGAGTCCGACTCCGGATTGGCAAGAGCAGGAAGAGAGGACTCATGAGGAGAAGGCAAAGGGGCACGCAGAGGAGCAGTGGACGGACGCAGACACATCTAGTGCATGCTAGGGACAGGAGGAGGACGCTGACGCGAACCGCTACCACTAGTGCGAGAAGCACAGACAGGTGACGCAGGGCGAGACGCAGGCTCACGACGCTTAGCAAGACCTCCAATAGGACCAGTATAGGGAGAAGGAGCAGGTAGTGGGGAGGCCAGTTGTAACTAAAACTGGGACGAGACAGGCTGCGGACACTCTAATGGAGGAGGAGGACCAGTAGAAGGCGGGAGACCAAGAACCTGCTAAAGGAGCGGAACGAAGTACGGCCGAGACCGCGCGGCGACTCTAGAGACAGCAGGAACAGCACCAGTACCCCCAGAAGCAGCACCAGCGCCAACAGCACCTCCAGCTCCAGTATGTCCAGCAGCACCAGTAGCAACCCCAGTAGGACCGTCTCCAGGACCGACAGCAGTAGCCTCAGCAGCTCCAGCTCCAGTCGTACCCGCAGGCCCAGCAGCTCCAGCACTCCCAATACAAGCACCTCCGGGACCCGCGGCACCACCACCCTCAACAGCCGAATAAACTTAAGCTGCAGCAGCACGCCTCTAGCGACGGGCAAACCACTCGCGCAGCTCCTATGGAGAGAGTGGCTCCCGCCGAGACGAAGCACTCGGAGAACCTCCTGGCCCAGCCCCCGCAGGCTCCTCACCCCCAGGCTCAGCACCGCCATACGTGGCATCCCCACGCTCAGCACCTCCAGACGTAGCACCCCCAGGCTCAGCACCGCCAGGCTCAGCACCCCCAGGCGTAGTACCTTCAGGCTCAGCACCCCCAGACTCAGCACTCCCAGTCTCAGCACCCGTAGGCTCAGCACCCCCAGAGTCAGCACCCCAAGGCTCAGCACCCCCCGGAGCACCAGAGTCACCAGTAACCTCGACAGGCTCGACTGCGTCTACCTGGGACACACCTGAAGGGGAAAGACCCTGAGGGGGGAGGGGGTCTACCAGGGGTGGACCTGGAACAAGGAAGAGCGGTCGCGGGGGGAGGGACGGAGTGCGGTAGGGGAAGAGGCGGTAGTAGGGGACCGACTCGTCAAACGTGACGTCCTGGGAGGAAAGAACACGGC